TTTCACTAGTGACATAAAGTAGCTATCGATCAGACATATTCCATTCCATCTTGTTGAGACTCCTACAAGTGCACACTAATTTTTATCTATTAGTTGATTCCCGTTAGAATTCATTAGTTCCTAAATCGGTATTTATGCTGATGACACAAACATTTACCCCCGTCTTAGTAGCAAGTCCAATAGCTCTGACAAAGTAAAACTGGCAGCTGCTCTTGAAAATGACCTCTAATCAGTATTTAATTGGGGCAAGGAATGGCTTGTGAATTTTAATGCCTCTAAAATAAAACTGGTAACATTTAATCACCACAGAGAACTTTTTCAGCCTTCCATCAGCATGACTGATGCTAACACTTTGCATCTTATTAAGCTTCTGTTTTCCACTGGCACAAAGTAAAAATATTATATTGAATCAATTGCTATATCTACTGCAAGAAAAAATTGGTTCACTGTATCATGCCAGAAAATTTCTCTCATAGGAATCCATTTAGCACATTTATAAATCTACCATTCAACCATGCACTGAATACTGCTTCCATATCTGTTCTGGCACTCTGGCTATATATCTTGGTTTGGTTGGTTGGTTTGTTTTTTTGTTTTTTTTATGGCATATCAACCTCAATGGGTTATTTAATGCCGACAAGTTTTTTATTGCTGGTAATATTTTTTTTTGCCAAACACGTAATGCTACTAATATTTTTTCTTGAAAAAATCTATTTCTGATAATATTATTTTTTCACAAAGTATTGCCAGTAAAATTTTTTTTGCCTAAAATGTATTGCTAATAATTTTTTTTTTTACAAAGTATTTCTGGTATTAAGACCTATTTTTACACTTTCATAGTATTTTGACCCCAGTTTGGAGGTTATTTGCCCATAGCAGGGACCCTAACAGGTGCTACCACCCCGGGTCAGAGTGGACCTGGGAACACCAGCAATTAAGAGGTGGTTCCACACTCCTCAAAACCTCCTGATCAGAGGCCTTGCTGCTGGCCATAGTCTATCATCTTATCCAGGATACAGATTTAGTTTATCATCTTACCAGGACAGGGTTATATATCTGGAGATTAACAAAATCCAAAGAAGGGTCTGTAATGTTATTAGTCCTGACCTGGCATCTCAACTTCAGTCATTTTCCCAATGCCATAACGTGGCTTCCCCCTGTCTTTTCTGTAAATATTTTCATGGCAGGTGTTCTGATGAGCTTTCCTCCTTGATGCCTCAGCTGCATGAACTTAAACATTAATAGATTGCCAACTAATTCTCACTATTTGACTGTTGAAATCGCTAGATGTAATTCTAAGTTCAACTAATGGTTTCTTTTCTTGCACTTCTTACCTGTGAAACTCTTGCTTCCCTGTCACCTACAATCTTCAAAAAATTAAATAAAACACCAATTGCCAATTTCTCTTTTCCTTAATCCTGTTCTTTTATTCTTTCTCCTCACTAAAATCTTTTCATTCTCTTTCACTCTCAGTAACCCCTTAAGTAATAGATAGGTCTACCTATCGTCCAGTCCATACTCCACTCTGGCCTTTTGAACAGGAGTAAAGGTTTATCCCTTGTTTTTGGTTTACAATTGGGTTTCTGGTTCCTTCTAAAGCCTTTTCCTGATGTAACTACCTCAAGTAGGTCTTGGACAGGGTGAATATCATTGTTTTAAAAAAAAAAAATTAAAAATTATCAATTAGTTTTGTCTATCATCTTAATTAGTATTCATATTTCTGTTCAATATATTGTTATAACGACCCCTAGATAGCACCAATTTAATTCAGTGTTGTATTTTTTAAGAAAGTGTCGCTACACATGGATAAAGAATCTAATTGTACAATTGCTGACACAAACTAATCGTTCTATTTGGTATATTAAAATTTCCATATTCTTCTCTCACCTTTTTTTTTTTTTTAACACAAATCGTAATTAGTTTCCGTAAAAAAAAAATATCAATCCGGAAAGAAAAAGATTAATAATATTGTCAAGTAATTTCACAAAACTTATTTTATAATGTGATGCCAATCAAAAATTAATGTAATTTTGGTGTTATTTTGAAGTAGAAAAATATTCACTAAACAAAACTGAGATACATTTAAGCAAGAACTTATTTAAATCTAAAATACTGAATACTGTTTTTATTTAATTCAGAGTTTCCCAATGTGGGCGAAGCTGTTGGATGGGCAATGAGCGACTGAACAGGCAATGATGAACAATATAGGGATTTTGAGTATTAAAAATGTTTTGAAATTATCGAGCAGAGTTCAAAATCCAGTTGAGTTAGTTACATTTACTTTCACACAAATACCTTTGGGAAAGGCATGAATCCATCTTTTCTCCCCTCAATTATGAGTTAGATAGTAGAGAAAACTGGTCTCTTTAATCTTGGTTGCCACCCAGTCTAGGAGATAGACAACTCTAAATTTAAAATTAGTTAAGCACGGAGCTCACAACTCCATGTAAAATCTACTTGCTATGGATACCACAGCAGTAATGCCTAGCGTGTTGAGAGGTGTCACACCCATACTCCTAAGGGAGTCAACAGGACTTGAATGAGTATAATGGTGGAGAATATCAAGTAGAAAGAAAACTTGTTAAGAATCAGAGAGAGAGAAAGAGAGAGGGACATGACATTTTGAGATACATAAAGAAAGGCTTGGAGAATTTAACACTCACAGGGCATATCTAAGGCAAAGAAACGACTATACAAATTTAAGCAAATAGTAGAACAAGTGATAAGTGATGACAGCAACAAAAGGAAGCTGTGGAGTACCATAATTGCACTGAATAAAAAAAAACAAACTTCTAAGTGTATACAATTCCCTAAGGTTATATCCTTAATTTTTTTTAGGGAGGCAAGTTGTTAACCTATCTGACACTTAAATTTTTTCAGACAAAATGCATCCATTTTGAAAGAGTTGTTTTACTTACCTATTTGTTCCTTGTCAAAAAAATCCGCGTTTTTGAGGGGGGGAAAAAATACCGCGGAGTTATCTCCCTTTATGATTCTCGAGTTTGGTCTTGTGCGATGTTTGTACAATGAAGAAAACTATGCGGATATGTGTTATGTTAAAATACTACTAATAATACAGCAGTTATTGGTTTTGACATTTGACGGTTTTTGTTTTCTAACTTGATCCCAATTCCAACAGCACCCCTTCCCTTATTTCTTATTATATATATATATATATATATATATATATATATATATATATATATATTCGGCCAAATAAAACTAATCTCAGTGGACTGATCTGTAAAATATGCCCAAAATATATTAATCTTAATATCAGAAAATAAAAAAGGCTTCAAAATTAAAATTAAAAATTTAAAAATAAATCATATTTCTAAATATATTTCTATTTTTTTCCAAGGGAGCGAACTCTTGTTACCTTTACACTTAGACGATCGGGAAGCGTGTAAGTCGAAATGTAAATTTAAAAAAAGAATTAGTAAAACATACAAAAACGATAAAAAAAAAAAAAAAAAACAACAGTAAAACCCACACACGTTTCTCTGAGATGGACAGTTGCATTAAAGATTACAGGTCGATCGTTTGGGCCCTCTGAAGGTGGGTACCTTAAGCCAATGAAAAGCTGGTACGTCTGGTGATTGTATGTAACCCAAACTGAAACATAAGCATTGTCCGAGTGATACGGCTCTAGGGCTTTTAAACAATGACCCTAAAGATTATGATAGTGAACCTGAAGTTTTATGACAGTTCAGAAAGAAGGGATTATAATTCCTTTCTTTAAAAAGAGAAATTTGAAAAAAAAAAAAAAAGATCTCTTTTTTTTGATTACCTACATTTTTTTTTGGACTGAACTCTCATAAAAGTTTCACTGTAACAAAAAAAAAAAAAAAAAAAATAACTTTTTTGATCATCGACAAAAAGAATAAAATAAAATAAAAAAAATAAAATTTTTTTTTTTTTTTTTTTTAAATTTGCCCCATCACCAGACATCAATCAAAAACAGCAAAGAAAGTAAGAGAGTCACCCTCCCCCCCCCAACAATGTTGTCCCCAAATTTTTGGAAAATGTTTTGTTTTCAGTTTTGCAGTTTTTGTCTTTTTTTTTTTTTTTTTTTTTGTGTGTGTTTGTTTGTTTTTATTTTCTTTATACACTGGACATTTTTATTTATTTTTTTTTTTTTTAAAAAAGAGTTTCTTCATTTTTTTTTTTTTCACTTTTTTTTTTATTATGTTTTTTAAAAATATTTTGGTTTTGATAACATTTTGTTGTAGTAACCACTGATATTTTTTTTTCAAAATCGATAAATTTTTTTTGTCATTCTGAAAAAAAAAAAAAATACAAGTAAAAAAAAAAAATCATTATCCATATACTTTTTTTTCCAAATATTTTTATTTTTTAATGTTTTTTCTTTTCTTTTCGATAATCATGTTGTCTTTTGTTTTAAGTGTAAGAACACCACTTGTGTTATGATCAGTCTTGCTAAAAAAAATTTATATTTATATAATGTGTACATATGCATGTAGAAGTGGAATATATATATATATATATATATATATATATATATATAATCCATTAGTAGTCTGTGAGATTATATAGGTGTGTGTATGTGTATGAGTGTCCAATAACAAATGGTGGTCAGTCTGTCTGATCACTGGCTGGCCATATATCCACAAAGACTGGACGTATTAGTAATAAATGAGACCACTTAAGGGTTGCATGGACTCAACAAAGAAAAAAAATAAAGATAGAAAGAGAATGGTATATACAACCATTAACCATCTCCATGGTTTTTTTTCTGTTCAAATAAACAGTCATTTAAATAAAATGGTAACTTGTTTCTTTCTTTATTCTCTTTGTTCTCTTTTTCTTCTTCGCAAAGGGAATATAAACATTTCTGAGAAAAAGGGGGTTGGAATCAAAAAGAGAAAGTAGTGGGATTCAAAGGCAGCTTAGAGCGAGAGAGAGAGAGAGAGAGAGAGGAGGAGCTGGGGAGGAGCATAGGGATGTGGGGTGCCAATCAAAGACTGGGGGAGCAGAGTTCAAAGTTCAAATGTTTTAGTGGGAAAAAAAAAAAAAAGGAAGAAAGAAACTTGAAACAAAAGCTGCAATAAGAAATCCTCTGACGATAGATAACAAGGCAAGGCAGAGCATTTAAGATGAAGATAAGTCTGAAAATTCCATTGTTTGGGGGGGGGGTAGTCGGTGGGGGGATAGTCGGTTGATGGCCGGGGGGTAAAATTATGAGGTTGAACAGGACTGGAAGGGAACCAAGGTTTGGAAAGGTCAAGAAGCAGGAGTTTTGCCCAACTTAGGAATAAAATAAGACTTGCATGAAATAAGGAAGGATAAATATCAATGAGCTAATAAAAAAAAGTTAAAAAAAAAAAAAAGCTAAAATCCATCAAGGTGGGGCAGTGTGATATAGTCACCAGTAAGATTTTGGGGGTAGGGTTTTGGTTATAAATGTCTGGCTGGCAGTAAATTCATGGACAGGGGGGTTAAAAATCAAGAAAGGATGAAAATTAGGTATACAGAGAAAGGAAATAAAATAGTTAAAAAAAAAAATAAAATAAAAATAAAGGGTGAAAATGAGACTGGCTTGGGAAGGGTGGGAGTTAAGTCAAATAAAAAAAAAAAAACAAAAAAAAAAAAACACTTATTTCCCAAGCAAAGACAATCTGTCAGCTGCATCTGATTGGTTGCTATACTTTTAGGCGTGTTTGTTCCGTATTTCTTTTACTAAGTCTTTTAAAAAGGTTCCCATTAATCTGATTGGTTGCATCGACACAAGGCAAAAAATGTAAGGTTTTTGCCTGCTGTTTGGTTTTGTTAAGGGGTGGAATCTGTCTTTAAAAGTCCCTGCCAGTCCATCTGCCTAAAATGGCTGGAACATTTTCACAGACAGACAAAAATGATATGAATTGGTTTTGTTTTCTCCAAAGGTCATCGCTTGTCGACTGTTATTGCTTGATCGTCAATTCCATGTCAAGTTTTATCTTGCCTAGCGTTTTCTTCACCCGCAAAGCAGTGAGGCGGGCTGCAGGCTGTTGGAGCCAGCACTCACCCATTACTTTGGCCATTTTCCCTAAATACTGAAAAAGAAGAAAATTTTATTTTACTCATCAAGCATTTTCTTAACTCTTTGGAAAAAAGCAGTCTTTTCAGAAGTTTTCCTGTTTTTAGTCTTTCCCTAACAGCAAATCAAATGGTGGCTCAAGACAATTTGCAGATGGTAAAAAAAACTGGGCAAACTTTGACCTTCATGCTCCCTCCACAAAAACAATTTCAAAAGGATGGTCTTTCCCTTGACACTGCTATTATTTTAATTACCTTCACTCTTCAGCAATATTATTTTAAAAAGCAATGATTAGAATTTGAATAAATCCTTTTATCAATTAGATTAATCAACTTTTGTTTTCTATATTATACTACAAACAAGAATAAGAATCTTATAAAAGACTAGCTTAAAAGCCACCTGATTGTGAGCCATTTAAAGCTAGCTACTACTGAGGGCTCTTGATTGGGCCTTCAGCCTGTTTGGTCGTTTGAGAGTCCATAACTCTTTGCATATTCTCAGCATTGGAAGCTCTCCTAGATGCTGTTTGATCTGAGTTTTCATTTGCATGGGACTTTCTTTTCCTCACTGCAGCTTCGGCTCTTTTGATCGCAATCTGGCCCTCTGTTGGCAGAGATTTCTTTTTGCAAGGCATACTGCTGCTCTATGTGATAAGCAACAATAAACTACAGAAGAACTCAAAATTGATCGCTGCATTTAAGTATTCAATTAATATTTCAGCTTACCTTTTAAAAGTTCAACAATAATTCTTCAGCCACCACTTAATTTAAAGACAATTGGATGTTTGTAGGTACTTACTTTCCATACAAACAATTATTTTTATTTCATGAATGACTTTCACAATTAATTTCAATTATTCCCAAGTTTATTTCCAAGTTATAAAAATTGTTATCACTCAAAAAATATGTCACAAAAAATGTTTAAAAAAAAAAAAAAAAAATCACTGAAAACAATTCAAGTAATGAAAACTTAGGAATCCAAAATTTCTGTAACATGAGCTATTGAAAGTTAGAGAGTTGTGTCCCTTTTATTGAACACCCTGACATTATATAGATTGTTTCGTACTTTACTCATTCCCAACCATTTAGAACATAAAGATTATCTAATAAATGTAAGCTGGAGAAATACTTACAGGATCACTACTCCAACGATTTGGGACGAGTGGTCTTTTCTTTTCAACACAAACTACTTTTCGCATTTCTTCAAAGCTGGGGTCATAAGGTATATAATCATAATATGGGAGTTGAGCTGTTTCTACAATACCTGTAAATAAAAAGAGCTTTGGTTGAAGATTGGCTTTAAATATTCAGCACAATAGAATTTAAAGTTTTATTGAAGGAAATCTTTGTCTTACTGGTGTATATTTGTGTGATACTGTTGTATCCTTAAAGAAGGTTACAAACAGACAAAGGTGGTACTCAAGTGAAAGGAACAGTAACACGGGCGTAGATAAAAGAGAGGTTTATTGTAAAAGAGAATATATTACTGAAAGACAGGGAATCAGTTAGCAGGCTAGTAATTCCTGAAGCGAGGATATTTACCTTACCTCCCCGTGAGGCAAGATGTGGCAGAACCAAGCCAATAGGCTTGTGCAAAAATTTCCATTAGATCACGTATACAAGGGGTCGGGTAGCTGTCTATCACCCCAGACAAGACTGCCCTTCAGCATAGCCTTGTCTGGGTTCCTTTCCGCCAGAAGGCAGAGAGTTTGACCAGCTTAGCTGGAGATGAGTCCCCAACTAATTCCCGAAACAAGTCGCCAGGTATCTCCTGCACACACACACATTATATATATATATATATATATATATATATATATATATATATATATATATATATATATATACATATACTAGCAGTAGAGCCTGGCGTTTCCGGAGATGTAACAGTAAGAGATAGATCAAGTATCGACCATCATAAAGACTGAAAAATAAAATTGACAAAGATTATTGTTTAAGGTTGACGGACACACATGTCTTAATTAGTTTTTTTTTTTTTTTTTACGAATTAGTCAAACCCAAACAAAAACATTGTTTTCAATCGTTATGAGTCTACCAATTGAATAGAATTTTATTATAAACAATTGTCTTGTAAATGGAATTTTTAAAACATTCTGAATGTATAAATAAAGAAAAAAGTGTGCAAGACAATAAGAAACACTACCTGCCTTAAAAAAAAAAAAAAAGTGAAGTTTTGTTGAAATCGGTTGAAAAATGTAGGAAATCCAATCCCATATATAAACGAACACACACACACAAACAACCTGCGTTTTATAATAAGTAAAACTCGATATGATTTGTTCCCCTTTCATTCTGGCGACAGAAACGTGTTTTATCATGTTTTCAAATTGATTTTGTGCAAAAACAATTGTGTTTTTCCAATTTTTGGCACTGTCAGAACCACCGAAAGGTAATTTTACAGTCCTGTGAAGTTTTGCTGAAATCGGTTGAAAAATGTAGGAAATCCGATCCAACATATAAACGTACAGACACACACACAATCTGCGTTTTATAGTAATGTAATATATATATATATATATATATATATATATATATATATATATATATATACACACTGATGTAGTCAGTCCCCAATAGGCGATAGGGAGAGTGGGACATTCCATTACAACAGATATTTTAAAAAAATGAAAGGAGGTTAAGACAGAGAGAAGGAGAGAGAGAGGAAGGAAGGATAGTGAGGGAAGGATGATGGAGGGGAGGAGAAAAATAGAGAGGATAGATAATTCTAACCAAATTTTAATAAACTAAAAATAAAAATTATTACTGAAAATATTGACTTGCGACTAAAACTCTCCAAGGGAGACAACTCACTTCATAAACAAAAATATTTAGAACACTGCTAATGCAACAAGTAAATAGATTTAACATTCCAAAAGGAGATTACAGGATTGAGGAGTTGCACTTCACACTAGGGAACACAATAACTCCATCTCTTTTATTACTTCCCATTCTTATCAGATCAAACTGGGTTTTCAAGCTTTGGATTGCAACCAATCACAAAGAAGCTCAACACTTGCTTTAGCAAAACAGTTCCTTTAACCAAAATGATGCTAAGATATTCATAAATATATATGGCTGAAGGAATTCTAGTGAATGCATGTGTTTTTACTTTACTGCACCTTCACAGACAACATGTTTTGCTTTATAACACCCCTGGGAGATGACATATAGGAACCCTTAGATTAGTGTGGCTAAAGTGCTCATTAAAAGATATGCACTAAGCAAAAACGCATTATTTGAATATAACTTATCAGAAATGATGTAATTTGTACCTCAAATTTAAGTCTCATTCACAATTAATTTCTAATTTACATACTTTTTAATTAAAATATAGGTACATATAAGAAGATACAATAAAAATGCTATGAATGAATGTTTATTATCTGATTTTTTTTAGGAAAAACTTATTTAGAGTTGTTTGCCACATGGTATTCTTCTGTTCTACATAGTTGGCAGTACTGAGAAATTACCGCTTCAAATTTACCAAACATATAATCATTAGTATTTTAACCTGAAAATTTGATCCATAATCTTTCCATAGTAAATGCATACATCTTTTATATTTTGATATTTTTTAATAAATGTAAATTTCAGTTATCTAATTAAATTGTCCTTTTTTTTTCTTCTTTTTAGCAAAAATCAGAAATTACCATTTAAGACCTTCAAAATAAGCATGATAAAAAAAATATTCAAAAAATTTTAACAGAGACAAATATTCAAATACATATTTTTATTATCGGCTTATATTATAAAATTTATCTATTTATAACCGTCTATTTTTTTAAACACCACTGTAATTACTTAGATAACGTAATACTTGACAAACAAAATATTTACCCATTTTGAAATTTTAGAAATTTTTTAATTAATTGCTAATTATAAAAATATCAATTTTCAATTATTATGATTAAACTGAAGAATGTTTTACGACACTAATCGAGTATTATGTATGTACTAATTGAATTTTGGTTTGTAAAAATTTTAGCACACTAATTGAAAATGCATTAATTGAAGGATTCCCATATTTACAACCCAGAACAACCATTTCAATTACAGTAAATTGAAATAACATGAAAAAAAAAATTACTCGTCAAACTCTGGTAAGCCAAGAAAATGTAATACATTGAGTCAAGAACACAATAATTGAAAAATAAAAAATTGAAAGTCTTAATAGGAAAAACTTTTAAGAGAGAGGTGCCCCAAAAACCAGTAAGGCATGAGAGAAACAAAAAAAATATTTTATTTTTGCATGTGGGGGTGGTGGATTAAACTGCCCACCAGCTGCTGCATGTCTCTATTTAAATTTGATTTGTAATATTTCAATCCTTGTTTCTCCTTTATTCCTCCCAAAGTTTGTTAAAAAGCCTGATGATTAGACTCCACAGCTTATCCCCACTGGCAATGGGAACTAGGGTCAGGATAAAAAAAAAAAAAAAAAAAAAATGAAAAAATGAAACCTTATATGCAACACTACAGCTAATTTATTAGTAGCAAACTGGAAAGGTAGTGGTGAGGAGGTGTGAAAAAATTTTGAAATGTGGGTAAATTTCTTCTTACTGGCTTGATTCCTCCAGACTCACTTAAGTTTTTTTTTTTTTTTTTTAATCAGTTCACCCCAAGCAGGGCAATAATACCACTAAGATGCAAAGGGGTTACTGAAAGTCAAAGAGACTTTAGAAGGAACTGGAAACCTGACACTAAACAGGAAACAAGGAGTAAACCTCAACTCCTGTTCAAAAAACGTGGGGGGGGGGGGCGTGTGAACTGGACAACAGGCAGATTTATCTACCCCTTCTTTGTTTTTTGCCAGAACATTTCGGGGGGATCTGCCAATCAAAACGAGGATTTAAGAACATTCCAAACCATGCAACACTTGAAAAAGGTTGAACAATGAAGATAAAAAAAAAAAAAAAAAAAAAAACGTTAGAGATGAGGAAAGTGAATGATTGATAATTCCTCATCTAAAATAAATAAAATAAATTCAGACAAGAAGAATTTTTTTTTTTTGAACCTGTGAAGAAAGTGCAGGGTATTACCTTTATGGACACATCGACGGGCAATTTCCCATAAGACAAGACCAAAAGCATATACGTCACATTGCTTAAATGAATCAAAATGGTTCCGGTTGATCGTGTCATCCAAGACTTCTGGTGCCATGTAACGTTTAGTGCCTGTTCGAGAATTCGGGGCTATGTCTACTTCATTTGTTTCACTAGAAAAGACAAATAAATATGTTAGTCATTTCCAAATCACTTTATTAATAAAACAATAATTATCATACCAATAATTATCAATACAGTAGGCATCTTAATTCATGATCTCTCCTTGATTGTAGCAGCTCATGTCATACTGTTCAAAGAGTCATCATGAGGGGTGGAGGGGAAATCAACTGGTTGGAGATCAGAAGACAAAGCAGGAAGTAGAGAGAGCAATGTCGCACCTTCAAGTTCAGCCTTTTCTCCCACACCTACAGAAGAGACTGCCATGTAAAGATTGGACTGGTAATTCACTCCAGACACAAAAGAACTGAATTTTTTTTTACCAGAGTGCTGCCATTTTCTAGCAAGTTAAATGGATGACTGCAACTATTAAGAGGTATCACGGTTTCTTTTAAAATAGCTGAAATCTAATCTACAATCACATCTATTTTCCATCTTTGATAGCTCTTCACAGACAGAAGCACTCAATTTTAAAATACAAAGGAATGAGATCACATTCCAAAATTGTGATTGCAAGGTTTCAGCCAATCCATTAGTCGGCCTTTAAGAAAAAAATATAATACAAACCAAAATTCATTTTCAGCAACATTGGTAATAGTAACAACAGCTGTTTCCACACAAGGAAACATTTGGCATTCATTGACCGAGGAGCCAGTACTGCTTTTGGTTGAAATTTATAAATCTTCCTGTTGAAACAATTTTTCAGGAAAACAGGTTCCTCAGGTGCAGTAACAGTTATTGCTCTTACCAGTAGTGATGGGGTTTCCCTTCTAAACTTTTGCTTGAAATAGTTTGAAACACAAAGAATAGGAAATTTTGGAGAGCCTTGATCCCCCAAATCCTAAAGAAGAATATACTGCATGCTCTCTGCAGTATATATAAGCAGCCTAAATAATGCCATGATGAATATACAAAGAAAGTTGACTAGCAATGGTAATATTAGCTGCTTCCTTGTAAGGAAACATTTAGTATTCATTGACTGAGCAGCCAGTACTGTTTTCCGTTGAAATTTATAAAATCTTTCTCTTAAAACATTTTTTTTTTTAGGAAAAAAGCTTTCTGAAGTCTAGTAGCTGTTATTGCTCTTTCCAGTATTGATATTAGCTGTTTCCCTCCAAGGAATCATTTGGCATTCTTTGACCAAGCAGCCAGTAGCTGTTATTGCTCTTTCCAGTATTGATGGGGGTTTCCTTCCTAACCTTTTATTTGAAGTGGTGTGGAATGTCAACATCTTGATTACATCATTATTTCCTGTTTGAGTTACACACAATGTCAATTGCCATCCTCAGTCTTCTTCAATTCTGTGATTCTTTATTGTCCTTTTCTCATTAAAGTCTTCTCATTCTCTTTCACTACCTGTAACCCCCTAAATCCTAGTGGCATCACCTTGCTTGTGGGTGGGGGAAAAAAAAAAAAAAAGAAGTGCTATTCTCCATTTTAACTATTGCAGTTGTTGAAGGTCCTCAAGTGATGTACAGGGTGTATCCCTAAAAATTCTGGGCACACAAGAAATCTCATTAACTATATATATAATATAATATATATATATATATATATATATATATATATATATATATATATATATATATATGCACCAGGTCTCTGTGATACACCAGGTCTTTCAAAAAGTGTGGATGGTCCTGCACGAAGCCTTCACCACTATAATCTCAAGTGTCGGGCTGTCAGTTTCCTGAAACTGATCTGCTTGACCCTCATACGTTGAATCTCGATGGGATATATATATATATATATATATATATATATATATATATATATATATATATATATATATATATATATATATATATATACATATTATTAAACATGGTTTTGTTAAAATAAGAAAGAATTAACTTCTTTTTCTGGAGTACACTAAAGGAGAGGGTGTACGCAGATGCAATGCACTTAATTGAATGCATAAAAAGTGAATGTGCTAAAATTGACAGCAATGTGGAGTTATTGCATCAAGGTCATCTGAATCTTGCAAAGTGCATCAACCTTTGCAGCATAAATGATGGAAATCATATTGAAGATGTTATTTATTACAATTCAATAAAATTTTGAAAATTTCTTGAAAATATGCATTTTTGAGGGTGTCCAGACTTTAGGGACATATGTAGTTTCTGTTATTTGGTACAGTTCCCAGATAATTGACAGAGAACAGTATTAAAGAGGGATTAAATTTAAAGAGACAGCATATATCGGATTACATACTTTGCTACTGACGCCGACATGCTCATCTGATATTGTTCAACACAACGCTTTTTACTTCTGAACAATACGACCATGATTTATTGCTGTTTTTCTATTTTGGTTTTCAGAGTTACCTCCCTTAGATTAACAATATATCCTTCATCATTATTTATTAATGGAGGCTTGCGACTACATCACATTGAAATACCGGTTCTCGTACGATCACTAAAGTTAAGCAACGTCGAGACTGGTCAGTACCTAGATGGGTGACCGCTTAGGAATACCAGATGCTGTAAATTTGGATGTGTGTTTGGTATGGATAAATTGTTACGGTCACTAAGCATCAAATATTCTTGCACGATAATGTATTAAAAAAATAAATGATTGCCCAAGTGTGCTACATTGGCCCCTACCATATAAATTTATAAAATCTTTCTTTTAAAACAATTTTTCAGGAAAATAGGTTTCATTGGAACAGCGTAAGAAGGTAATGATGGATCCCTAACCATAAGCGAAATTTGGGGAAGGCTTATGTCTAAAAAAAAAAGGTGCGTTTTTAATGGCACAAAGACTCAGTTTTCAGATCTCCAAGAGGATTACATTCCTCACTTTGAGGTCCAACGTTTCTACACATTCTCCCCCACATCTATTCTTTGTTATATACAAAATTTCTACCTTTATTTATGTACGCATGTACAGAAAGCCATTTTCTTGCCACTCTCAAACGAATGTTATTTATACTTTTTCCAAGATAATATCCTCATCTTTATTATCACAACGTTTTGACCGTTGTGCTCTCCAGCCTTCATCAGGTGTTTGTAAATATGTTTGTTTGCCTTTTTAATGTCATATCAACTTATCAGTCATTTAAATCCAAAATTTAATTTTCTGGGAGATTTGAAGTAATAAATATGTTATTCTGCTTTCACAATTGAATACATGGTAGATGATACTCAGCTTTTGTACATGTTTGTAGGGACATAATTACTAGAGGTGGTGATGTGTTGTATTTTGTTGAAGTCATATTTTAGAATACAGTTTCATTTAAGAAATTGTAGATATGGATTCTTTCATGTTGGTTGTTTGATAGTATTTTAAACGGATTTGGGTGAAGTCACTACAATTTGCTAGAATGTTTTACTGCATATACTTCTTGACATACAGCACAAATTGGAGGTTGTTCTTGTCTTAGAAGATAAAATTGATTCGTTGATTTTGTTTAGGAGCAAATCAATTATTTAATGCAGAAATCTGATTTGAACACAATTTTATGCCAACTACAAATAAAATCTATTGTTCGTCATTTTACTACCGAAATGTATTGTTCGTCATTTTACTACCGAAATGTATTGTTTGTCATTTTACTACCGAAATGTATTGTTCGTCATTTTACTACCGAAATGTATTGTTCGTCATTTTACTACCGAAATGTATTGTTCGTCATTTTACTACCGAAATGTATTGTTCGTCATTTTACTACCAAAATGTATTGTTGACAATTCTATTATAAAATGAATTGCTGGTCAGTGTTGTTGTTAATTTTACTATAAATATGTATTGTTAGTAATTTTTTTATATAAAAATGTATTTCTGGTATTTTTACTATAAAAATATATTTTTATACTTTCATAGTGTTTTCTTTTTATTTGGGGGTTCACTATTTGCCCATAGCTGGGACCCTAACAGGTGCTACTACCCTGGGTCAGAACGACTTGGGAACAACAGCAATTAAGAAGTGGTTCCCTGCTCCTGAAAACATCTAATCTCCTATTCAGAGGCCTTGCTGCCGGATATAGTGTATCACCATACACAGGACTAGGATTTACTTCTAGTTGATTCACATATATTATCAATTTAAAATATGTATATTTAGGCAGCATATCTTCATTAAAGCATGTTTGACTGAACAATCTAGACATATTCTGTCTATTTTTATTTTAGCCCTCTCATATTCATGTATCAATTTTTTAGTATCGGTATAAAATTGATAGAGAAACATGGCATAGCTTCTTTTTTTTATTTTTTTATTTTCCCAAATAGTTTCAACCTCATCCAAGATCATCTTCAGGAGTGAATTGCTGAGATAAAGAATTAATGTAAGTTATGAATATGCGTGAGCATAAACACTGTTAAATTCAAACAATGTAAGAGAGGTAACTTAATTTATGTAAATTCTTACTAAAAATTGTAATTATGTGTTTTAAAATATTGGTTTAATTGTAGTTTTTTAACAGTTGCAATTAAGATATTTTAAAACTTTGTTGTGATACTAAGAATTGATTTTATTTTATTTATTTTTTTTGCCGTAATTTTTTTTTTATATCAAGGACTTCCAGAATTTGAAGTTTTTGTTTTTTATTTTCATGGTGGAGTATATTTGTATTGTTAATTACTATTTCATTAAATTGTGAATGTGAACAGAAATGTTTCTTTATATTTTCTGAGATTGAACTATAGTGATTCATATGAAATGTAAGTCTCCTTGATTTATTAATTTAGTAAATGTTTATAAATTTATGTATAAAAAAGTTTTCATATTTATTTCTTTATAAATTGGTAAATTATAAATATTGTATTAGATTTTAGAATGTTGTAAATATAAAATTATTTTTGTAAATAAACAATCTAATAGAGGTTAATATTTTCGTTGTAAATTCTCAAGAACTGAAATAAAAATGGATAATTTCACTGGTAGTTGCACACTCCTCAAAACCTCCAATCTTCCAATCAGAGGCTTTGCTTTATCATTATACTGAGGAATTTTGTCAATCTGGGTCACCAACAGGGAATTTCAAACTGAACCTTTTATTTAATCTAAGGGGGTAAATTTTTCTTGTTATGCTGTCCATGTCTTGTAGGGGGGATATGTTGTCTAGTTCTTATTTAACACTGCTCTTAAGAATAATTAATAATTTAAATAAGATAACCACACCTATTAATTGTGCTAGATCCACCTTCAATAAGTAATTATATCTGACCTAATTACAATTAATGATAGATCAAGTAGTAACAACTGTTCAGTTACAGTGATACGATTCTGCAATGAGGTTTGAGGCGTACTTGACAAAATATTGTGACATGGTTGCATTGCTATTTTAGCCGATTAGGCTATAGTGTCAACTATTGTTAGTCAATGAAATACATTTTTGTCAACTCTTATTTCAGTTATTGTCTTCCTCTAGAACTATATTCCCATGGAACGGTAGTCAGGCCTGTTTATTTATTTTAAAACTGAATTTTTATTATAACACTGAAAACAGATATATTATTGAACTCTGTTTTTGTGAGGACTTATATTTTCATAAACATCAGCAATTGGTTAACATTTATGGTCTCCATGGTGGCCATTGCTTCGGACTAAAACGCAATAACATCATTTTTTAAAGTCACCATTTTCCAGTGAATAGAAAAATGTCATTGGAAAAAAATCATGGGCAAAGGTCATAGCTTTCGTTTCTGGTTTGGAAATGTTTAGTTCGATATCTACATTATGTGATTCAACAAAAACATTTTGACAGTACCTAATAAGCAATTATATTCAACTTAATGTTATATCCTTAAACAGCCAAAACTCCTAAATCACACCTATTCTATACTTAATGAACCATCTCTCTTCCCATCTCTCTAATAATATACTACATTAACTCCCTTTCTCTCTTTCAATCTGTTATAGTAGTTGCCGTCTTCAAGAAGAATTAGGTCAGACAGGCTGGTGACCCTAGTAACATGCCCAGATGAAAGCTAAAAATAGATTCTCACACAAGTGCAGAATCATGTGATCAAGTATGAGCACTGAGCGAGAAAATATTAGAAGGAATCAGATGGGGAAACAAATCTCAAGGGAGTTGGACCAGCCATGAAATTGTCATGTGAATGTATTTACCAAACTGAAGAGAAGAAATGCCATCCCCAACTCACACAAACACCCAGTACAAAATCAATTGGAATCAGAGTCTTGTGTGAATAACGTCTCTTTACTTGTTACTGTCAAGCTAAGGAAATTGCAGAATGAAGACTGTAGAATATTGGTTAGCTTGCCAGTGGTCTGACACACAAGTAGGCTAGTGTAACCACAAGTTTTAACTGACCTGAGTCATTTAATGGAGAGATATATGGGTGAATAAGGACCACACATGCAAATGTATTGGGCAGGTCCATTCTAGCAAAATGGTGTATTAAGCACTCTCCTATAAAATGAGGTAAAATTAGCTGGCCTGCTTCTTCAAGAAGACACAAGAAGGCAGCCATGTTGGCAGGTAAGTCACTTGACTTCTACAAAGACAAGATCCAATTCAACTGATCATACCATGCTTCATATACCAAATGCACAGGTGAATTACTAAGTGTGATAATCACCTAAGACAAGCATATGTGACCCATTCAATTGAACACAGGCTACAACTTATACAGCATTGAATCTTCCTACTTGAATAACAAATTCTACATTGATGTGAATAAGAGAGCAAATGACCAGTTCTTGGGGTCAAAACTCATAACATTGAAGAAAGAATAGATCAAAAGATATCGCTGATCTAGTGAAAAGAACTGAACTAAAAGTAAAAAGGACAGAGAGAAATATAAAGCAAAAGAAAGAGAAAAGAGAAAATTCTTATTTCAGGCAAATAGCCAAAGTTAAATGAATTTTGAGTTTCCAGCTCAGATATATAATGTATACAACTTTCCATACATAAATGATTAGCACACACCTTTCCACACATTACCTTGCATTAATGTTTTCATGTAACGACTTGTTATAATTAAATCTTGTTAATTTGTATATTGTTGTTTCTTAATGTTGGTTGTTTCTCCTCATTTTTGTATTTGGACCTGTAGATTGAATAGTGTGTTCAATCTAAAGGGTTGCGCCCTATAATTCGTACCACATCTAAGTTATGCTTACAAAGTTTGATATCCTGAATGATTGTTTTCCTATTAACAAATGAAGAAAATGTCTTATATGTTGTTATTTACTGCTTTATTGAAAAACAGAAACTTGTTCCGAATTTTGAATTGTTTATTGGACTCAAGGTCCTGAAGGTAGACAATGGCATGAATAACAATGATATGAATAAAATAGTTGACTATACAGAACTAATAAATGTTGATGATTATGGTGGTGAAGAATAAATTCAAAGAAAACCTAAGAAAAACAACTAATAATTTAGATAAGATAGTCTTGCTTATCCACCTTCAATAAGCAATTATATTCAACCAGATTACAATTAACAGTAGATAAAGTAATAGCAACAGTTCAATTACAGTGATCTGATTATTCAATGAGGTTTTTAACCAATCATAGTCTGTTCAAAATTCCCCAATGGTTACCTAAATTGACAGAGATCTGATGAAGGATGGAAGGCAAAATGGCTGAAACGCTGTGATAATAGCAACAAAGATGAAGATAATAGTCCACATGTAAATAATGACAACTCAGGTCAAAAATTCAAACAAATATTCAATGATATTTTTTGCATCATCTTTTATGTGCCAATCACTTTCAGGACGTGAGCTGTGATGCAACCCTTACATCACATCTGGGCTGTTAACCATTTCACTGTAATGGATAATGGCTCAGAATGAGAAATCTGAGAGCCAAGGTTAAATTCCAATCAGGTTTCTTACATTCACTTATGTGCAAATACCATTGGTAAAGGTATGAATCCATTTCTCCCCCCTTTCAATATGGGATAAATAGCAGGACAGACTGAGCATTATAGCCTTGGTTGGAAAACCAGTCTACCGCAAAAAGAAATGGCAGAGCAATGCTGGAAAAGATGCATCATGTATAGCATTTGACATACTTATTTATGACACTCCACAACTTCCTAGCTTTAACTTATTAATTATTATCCCACTTTAGACATCCAAGTATTTTTTTTTTTTTTTTATAGTAATGTTCACTTTGTACAAAGCCCAGGGACCACTTGTAGTAGAGGGTCATGATAAGAGCTAGTTTATGCGGATAGGAGGGGGAAGATAACTTGACTTTAGACAGGTTAAGATTGTAGAGATCAGGGTAACATCCTCTCAGGATTCTGTACATAGGGCAGTGGTTTGCAGGAAGAAGCTGTTTGAGTGGAACTTGCTGCTGTTTATTTTATGTGCTCTCTCTCTCTCTGTCTCTCTTCAGGATATAGGCAATCATGAATCTCCACAGCTTCCTGTTTTGTTGCTCTAAGTAATTTTTTACCCTTTACCATCCCTCCCTCTTGTTCCTCCATCTTCATGCTGATTCTTTAATATACAATGTCCCTTCAGGATTAGGGTGATCATGGCTCTCCATAACTTCCTGTCTTTATATAATGCTTGTCTTTTTTTACAATTTCTCTTTGTGTTTGTTCTGTGACCCCTTCACATAAACTCATTAAAGCAGGCTATTTTCTGTCTTTCATTTTTCTTCTCTTACATTCAATATGCCCTGAGAATGTTATATTCTCTAAGCCCACTTTCCACATTATATGCCCCAGAAATATCAGCTGCCCATTTTCTTGTCATTGCTATTTTCCTTAAAATTTCCTCATTGCTTACATGTTGTGTCCCTTGCATTCTCCACTTGAATCACACCTCTGTTGTTTCAAGTCTTTTCTTCATCTGCAACAAAGTGATTATCTAACAACCACTGCCATATCGCAGATTAGATATTACATAGCAGTTCAAGTTCTCTTTTCTTTGTTTCTAACAAAATTTTTCTACCTCTTAATACTTTGCTTTATTTCTGGAAGGCATCTTATTATTCCTATACACCTTCAGATTTCTGTACCATATTTCCTGATGTCTGATGACATTAGGTACTACATGAATAGTTTCTTTGTAGACTGACTGAATGGCAAAACATTCTAAATTAAAATGTTAGATGAAAAAATACTTGAGGCCATTTTTGGCTTACGATCATATCATTTTGAAACACAGGTTCTTGTACAATCACTGAATTTAAGCAACATTGAGCCGGATCAGTACCTACATGGGTGACAGCTTGAAATATCAAGTGTTGTAAGCTTGTATAGCATGGTAGAGTCTAAATAACCTTGAGATAGGTATGAATCCACATCTTTCCACCTCCAGCTATGGGTTAATTATTAAGACTTTTCACTTGCTGTGCCGTTTACATAGTAGCAAACGACCCACATTCCCTTCGTATTCCATCAGCAAGAAGTAAGTTCCACTCAAACAGCTTCTTCCTGTGAACCACTGCTCTATGGAACAGACTCCCGAGAGGATGTTTCCCTGATCACTACAATCTTAACCTGTCCGAGCCTAGAGTCAACCATTATCTCTTCCCCTTCTATCCATATAAAGCATCCCTTACTGTAACTTTCTACCTCAAGTGGCCCCTGGGCCTTGTACGGGGTGAACTTTACTGTAAAAAAAAAAAGTAAAATCATTATTATCTCCAAATTCTCATATAATAAAAAAAAATATTTTTCTGGCTTTAAATAACCTGCAAAAGGTTGAGAGGTCATTAAAAAAAACAAATCAATCACTCCAGGACTTCTGCATTAGGTCTCCTAGGAATTTTGTCTCTTTCTGATTGTAAGTATAAGTTCTTTGTTCCTATTTTCCTTAAGACTTCCTCATTGTTCACATGTTCTGTCCATGGTATTCTTAGCATTCATTGATAGAACCATGTTTATTTTACTTTAAGTCTCATTTTCATCTGTGAGGAGATTGTCTTGCATTCAATGTCATATATAAGATCATATATTGCATTGCAATTTAACATACTTTTGTTTCTAAGGATATTTTTTTCCTATCTCTTAATACTTTGTTATGGATCAACGTAGATGTATGTTGTTTCCCCTGCTTATTTTGCCTTCAATGTCTTGTGAGTATTAAATTCACTAGGCTGTCTTTCCTCATTATGTGTGCCAGAAATTTCAACTACCTCTAATTTTTCTGTTTTTTTTAGACTTGGTTTTGCATAAGAAATGAAAAGATTTAATTTTGAAAATATTTCCTAAGGTAGCTTTCTATACACAGATATTTAATCAAAAACAAGCACTGATTTTTTTTTTTTTATAGCAATAATTTCTGCCCTTTCATATCTAAACTGAAATGATATTACTTCATCATCGTATATGAGGGTGGGCTAAAAAAAGTTCATAGGCTGTCTATGAAGGAAAATCATGCAATGATGATGATGACATATCTGCTGTTGATGATTTTGTTTTTTCACCAACAGGATGAAGAATCCTCTTTGAACAGTCAGATGTCAGTTTACTTGGAAAGAAACAATGCAGTTATTATTTCACAGCTCTAGCATTGCTCCTTCATAGCCAGTCTATGAACTTTTCAGCTCACTCTCATAAACACTGTACAACTTAATCTGAAATAGCAAATATACTTACCTTATATATTTTACACACAAACCGAGGTCTGCAATGCAACAAGTGCAATTTTTCTTTACTAAAATATTTGTACTTTTTATATCTCTGTGTGCTAAGGCTGGTTTGCCTGGAGAAAAAAATAATAAAATAAAAACAAAATCAGGGTAAAATGCATTAAGAATTTACAAGCAATTTTTTTCATATCCACAAGAAATAAATCTAACAGTCAAGTTGTTTATTTCCATCTGCTCAGAGATTTGAAGCAGGATAGAAATGTCCAAAATTTTACAGAATACAAGTTTCCATAAACCTTATTCAGTTTTCTTTCTGTCCAATAAACACCCTCAAGTGGAAATTAACTAATTAATGCTTACTGTTCTATTTTTGTGTGCATTAATGCTTATATTAGCATAGAAAGCAACACTTTCTCAGGCTTTCCACTGACTAGCCAATGATTACCCCCACCCCCTCATTGCATGCTGGGTTGGGTGATTTTGTTTATTGGCATATCAGCCTCTATGGGTTACTTAATGCTGAAATCTAAATATTTTGGATGCAATTGTATGCCTTCAACTACAGATAAAATGTTTTGTTGGTAAATTTCACTACAAGTATGTGTTATTGGTAATTTTTTTTATGTATAAAATGTATTGCTGGTATTTATATACTTTCATAGGGTTTTGTTTGGGGCGGAGGTGTTCACTATTTGCACGTAGCTGTGTCCCTAACAAGTGCACCCACCCTGGATCAAGGCGTACATGGAAACAGCAATTAAGAGGTGGTTCCACACTCCTCAATATCTCCTGTCTCTTGATCAGAGGCCTTGCTGCTGGATGTAGTTTATTGTCATACCCAGGACTTTGCATGCTGGGATGTATGCTCACAAGGTAACATGATGAAAGAAATGCAATGTTGAGAAATAAGAACGCAAAACCTATTTCCCATATTATATGTAGATGTTTTATTTGGAGTTTTGGTTGCTTGTCCAGCGGGGATAGGTAGATGATAACTTCTGCTCTTATCCCTACCAATTACTCTTGGTGTGGTGGCTGGCAATATGAAATGAAGGAAATGGAATGATGGCAGACACATCCATCTCCCACCAAGGGCTGTTAATATAGACCAGCATCCAGATATACCCTATTTCTGGTTTTGTTGCTACTTGATCTAAAAAACACTATACTTCGCATTACCTCTCAGTTAAAGTGAATGCTGCTTAGAAGACCAAACTTTGAAAGGAATCATCTAATGGTCTGTCAAAGAGAAACACTTGTAATCGTGATAAAACATTCTCTTCTATTTCTATGTGGATGTCCCTAGTATCACACTATAATAGGTTATAGGTAGAAACCTATAATACAGGTTTTTTTTTTTTTTTAGAAACCTATAATTAATACTGGATTTTTTAAAGCATATAATACCAAGTTTTTAATTATTTTTTATAATTGTGGATTTTTAATTTAATTTTTATAATTAATTCTGGATATTACAGTGACCATAAATTAAAAAGAATTTGTGTTTAGATAAGAGAAATTAATGAAATTTTCACTGACTTCTGATAAAAATATATATATTTCTGATGACAGTTTTTATGAAATATTTGAATTTATCAGGTACATTGAATGAGGAAAATCTATAAATACAGAAATTCAAAAAAATGGAAAAAATATTTTTTTTTAAATTTTAAGTGTAAGTGAAAAATTTAAAAAGATAATTTTAACTCAAAAAATAAAAATTTTAAATGAATAAGAATTTTTTAAAGATGTAAAAATATATTTAACTTTAAAAATCTTTAGATAAAAGAATTTTTTTACATTTAAAGATTTTAAAATCAAAAACTTAATTTAAACACTGGAATTAAGAATTTTTGATAAATGAATTTTTAAAAAATGTAAATTTTAGAAATCAAAACTTAAGTGGAATACATTTTAAGAAATGTAAATTTAAAAATTAATTTAAATTTTAAAAAAACTTTTTAAGTAAAAAAATCAAATTACAAAATTTTTAATTAGAATAATTTTATTAAAAAAATATGAAAATTTAAAAAAAAAAAAAAAAGAGTAAAAATTTTAAGACAAAAGATTAAATTCTAATTAAAAATATTCAGAGAAATAATACACATTATGAAACAGGAAAAAAAAAAGACAAATTGAAAAGGTGGAATTGACAATTTAGTCATTGTATTGTCTAAAACAACATACCTTTTGCTCCAAATATTTCTGCATGAAGAAAGGCAATGCCAGAAATAGCAGAGTGAGCCAATCGTAGCATATCAACTGCATTTAAAGTATGGCCTTGAAGGTAATCGTACAATGACCCATTGTCATGATAATCTGTTATCAAAAACAACTGGGTGCCTTTTATATCTGCGGCCAAAAAGCCTGCAAAAAAGAAAACAAATATTTAAGAAAAAGAAAAGAAAATAAATATTTAAGAAAGATGGAAGAATAAAAATATCCTGGCTAACAAATAAAAAAGCAAACGTGAATTTGATGAAGGTGTGTCTTTAATATTTTGAAATATACTCAAATCATCTTCAAAACTGTTTATCTACAAGAATGTCATCCAAATTTCATCCTCTCAAGAAAAATGTATAAAATCCTGGATAAGAAACAGGTGATCGATCATAAACTGATCCTAGACATTTTCTATCTATACTCCTATGTACCATGTCCCTTCAAGTGCTCCTGAACTTCCTGTCCTTTGTAGCCCTCCTTAATAATGTCTGTTTGTTATCTCTCCTAATCCCTGTTCTGCCAACCATTTACACAAGCTCCTACTTGTATATGTTCCTTCAGGATGTGGGCATCATGGCTCTCCACAATTTCCTGTCCTTTGTAGCCCTTAGCAATGTTTGTCTTATTGCTATCTCTTAATTCCTGCTCTGCCAACCATTTACACAAGCTTGATAGAGCTTTCTTGTCTCTCTTGCCTTCAATATGCCCTGTGAGTGTTAAGTTCTCCAAGCCCTCTTCCTTCATTATGTGATAAAATAGCATCAAGGACAAAATATCACCCATAAATAAATATATATATATATATATATATATATACACACACACACACAAAAAAAATAATTAACTTACAACAAAGAAAAATAATATTTTAGTTAGGTAACAGGCCAAGTTTCCTCATTATTTCAAATATAATTTAAAAATTATGGCTGACAAAAGAACATTTTGGGTGCTTCACAAGTGAAATTTCAAGATCATTCAAGCCTTTCTTTTCACACTCAATTCTTGGCTCTCTCTCTCTCTATATATATATATATGTGTGTGTCTATAGTGATGAGAAAAATCTAGCCTACCAGATCACACCTGGAGTGTGAAGTTTCTGTATTGCAAGCTCTGGGATCTGTCCAAATAACAGATAGAGAGCCATGATAAAAAATAAGTAATTTGAAAGAGACTGTATATATTGGCTTGTGGTACTGATGCTTAAGTATAGTATACATTTCAGTGGTTTGCTTTGTACAGGTGGTGGGAACTCCCCTGTGTATAGAGAGGCATCACCAAGATACACAAGTAATTATATCTATATCTACCACTTTTGAAATGGACTGATTGGATTGTTATATATGTCACCAGTACTCCCTCCACTTCCCACAAAAAAAAAAAAAGGGAGGGTCTTTTCTTATGTATCATATACCTAATGAAAGCTGAATAAAAGATTGGTTGAACTATGTTCAGTTTTACAGCCAAACTATTATAATGTACATTAAGGTTATGACATTTTTGTAAGCCTATATTCCTCCTGTGTCATAAATCAATGAACTTTGGTTAAAAAGTAATGAAAAAGGCATTAATTTGTTTTAGTTCCCAAAGAAGATCACCCCAAATAGAAAATTCGATTTTGCCATATATGCAATAAGAGTTAAGAAAATTTCAGAAGTTTTATTTTTTAATTTGCTAATGGCATAATTGGACATTACTTTAATGTTTTAATGAATTTAACAGTTTATAGCTATAGCATAACATACAAACTTACAAATAAACAAAAACAAGTTCTAGAAGGCTCTAGAAAGTCATAGTACTACTATACTTATATGCAATTTTAGAAATTTTGTGTGTGGGGGGTGACTTTTCTTTTTTTTTTTTTTTTTTTTTGTAAATAAACTGAATTAAACCCATTTTTTTTTTTTTAAAAACAAAAGTTCATCAAATTATGAGACAGGAAATCAAATATTTTATAAGAATTCATAACCCTAATGTACATCTGAGCTACTATGAAAATAATGTCATGGAATTTTTTTATTTTTTTTTAAGAAATTACCAAAATTATTAAAAGATCAGAACATTAAAATTCATTTTCTAGGACTCTGAATGAGGTTATGTTATATCAGAACATTACCTATTCTATTGTAATGGACTCTCCCACAGATAACAAGTAGTAGTAGCAGTGGCCACTTGAGCTCAGTGGAGTTGAGCGAGTCAGTCAATGTCGGACATTGAAGTATCAACCATCACAACTAGATTGCTGCGTCATTAACTCTTATTTCAAGTTCCTAACGTTTTGTATGTCCGACCAACTTAGCGAAATACAAGCCTCCACTGTGAAAACTACTCTACAACAGGTTATTAAAATGATGATAAATTATTATGTTGAACAAAAATAATATATCAAAGCAATAGAAGCAGGAATATTAAAAGGCCATTGATAACAAAAAAGAAACAATTCATAAAAAAAGAAAGAAACAATTCATAAAAAAAAAAGAAACGATATATAATTGAAAAGTTCAACAAATCCTTAAAAATAACTGTCTTTTTTAAGTCATGCTTAACATGAGAAAAAACAGAATTTGTTTGTATTTACCTTAAACCTTAAAGAAAAAAATTATGAAAGCAAATTAAAAATGTTTTACAATGGCAAATGTTTGCAATATGAAACATGATAAAAAATAAATTAAAATTTAAAGCCCTACATTTTTGTTTTTGCATAGAAAAAAAATTTGATTTGAAAATATAAGAGAAATTAAAAAAAAACCCAAAAAACAAATGATCCTCCTTGAGCAACGTACAGCAGAAATGTAGAACTGAAGGATTTTGCATCTTTTCATGGTCTACTACTGCCACCTGCTCAAATGCATAAAGGCAAAACTATTACATGTCATGATTAAATCGAAAAGAAAAAGGCCAAGAAGTGTCAATTTACATTACAATGACAAATGGTCATTTAATACTAGCAGTAGGTTGCTTCCAATCTCAGTGTCTGTTGATTCAGGCTAACTTGAGCAACCATAGACAACTAATTAAAAATTAGTTGCAGAATCCAGAAATGTGTACAGATTTGAGTCTACTTTCTGCTGTAAAATGAAGGAATCAAGCGACAGGCTTTACTTCATTTAGTAGAATCTTTTGTTACATGAACCAAAATGAACCACAAGCAAATGGGAACACAGCCTTGTATAGGAATACAATTTAAGAAAAAAAGACAGATAAACAAGAATTTCAGGTGATGATCACTCTTTAGTTTCATCAGTTCAGACTTTTACAGCTAGGATTCACCATGTTACATCCAGTGTCAAATCGGCCACATTTCCTCTATATTCCATTTGTAGGGAAGAAATTCCACTCAGGCAGCTCACCCAGTCCAACAATTGCTACTTCATGGAGAAAACATTCACATGAATGATTCCCTGAACACTACAATCCTCTTCAAGCCAAGGGTCTATCACTATCTATTCTTCTTTTCATAGTCTTCACTTCCTCCTATCTTATATGTTCATATTACATACCTCATTCAGTAATCTTCTACTATGAGTGGTTATTGAGCCTTGATTTTAGTATTAAATAATATAATATCCACTGAGCTATTGTCCCATGGGACAATTGTGAATGGAAAACTTAGCCTTAAACTTAATCTGCCTGCTGATGAATGCTTCTGCTGAAGCCTTGCTGTCACCTCTTTATTAATGCCTTTGATATCAGATTTCTATTCCAGGCCTAAGGAGGTCTTCATAATCTAGCATATGAACCAATTCTTTCAGACATCTGACTCTCCAGTGCAGTGTTCCTCTGTTCAGTATTTTTACTTCATTCCACAAGAGTTGATGGCTACCCTTTTCCCTCTATACATGATCAGCCATTCCTGACTGCATTGTTTGATGCCTAATTATGTTTTTTGAGGCAATTAGTTTCACCTTTATATTCTTTGACATAACTGCAAGGAATGGAGTATAAACATGATTAAAGTATTGATTTGTGAATTTATCAATATAGTAATTGTGAGTTCAATCCCTGGGCTGGTTAGTGTGTGCTTGGACTCTGTGGAAATGAGGCAAGTAGTACTTGATGAGCAGTATGAAATAAGAACTAAACAAGGTATCCCTGAACATGGCCAGAGGAATGAGAGCAATCTACCACCATAGGTTAAATCAGGGATCAGCACAAAATTCCCTGATGGTTACATGGGTTGACAAGCACCTGGTAAAAGGCAGGGGATACAACAGTCAAAACATTGTAATAACAACAAAGATGTAAATAAGCTGAGTAGATATAAAAAGCTGCAAATGGCCACATCATTAACAGATTAAAAAAAATGGAACTAGTGACTAGATTTCAAACTCTGGCTAAGCCAGGTTTACCTTCACTAATATCCTTGGAAAAGGTATGAATCCATACCTTTCTCCAACTAAAGGTAAATAGTAGGGTATATGGAGTTCTTTAGACTTGGTTGTTAATTTCATGGACAATATATACTTTTGGGAGATTCCAATGAATAAAAATGTTCTCTATATAAATGGAGATATGTTTTTGAAACAACTTCCGATTTAAATATAGAAACTTTTTTTTTTTTTTTGTTTAAATAAAGAATATAATCACCTCTGATAATAATTATGGGAAGAGTACAAATAATCCAGATCAGGAAGAAAAGTAAAGTGAAGTGAAAGAACGAAACAAAACAAGGTGGGACAGCAAATGTAAAGTGACAAGGTGTGAGCATGTGGGACAACCCTAAAAAAAGGGCATGTCAAAAATATTGAAGAATTAGAAATCCAAAAGAGAATCATAACCATCAAGTCAAAAGCATTGTCAAAATAGATAATATTGAGGAGAATGCTGCAATAGTAAAGAAACATGCTGTCACTTGATCTTCACTGAAAGCCACTAGTCAATACGAGTATGAAACCTCAATGAGTACAAATAAAAACTATTGAGGAAGGTGCTGGAGAAGTGAAAAGACTGTCACTTGACCTCAAATTAAAGCCACCAGTCTGTACAAGTGTGAAACCTCAATGAATTCAAATAATAAAGACTACTAAGGAAGGTGCTGGAGAAGTGAGAAGACTTGCTGTCACTTTATCTCTGTTGAAAGCCAACAGTCAGTACGAGTATGAAACCTCAATGAGTACAAATAATAAAGAATACTGAGGAAGGTGCTG